TTGAATATCCGTTCATAAATAATATAGCGTGTATAATCTTCAAAATAAACAGTGCTAAGAGCATGATTGGTCGTGCCTGTGATAAAATGATAAAATCTGTCTGAGAAAGTCTTGATTCATTTGTGAACGCGTCCGACGGTTGACAATATTTCTTTCTGTGAGAATTTTTTTTCTCTCTCTTTTTAATTGTGTTCCTCCGGACGAAGCACGCCCGTTCAATCTACACGGGGATTGAATACCTCAATTAGCGCTGAAACAGCCCCCGTCAGTTTATATGTATTTGGAATGGAACCGATACGAGGTTTTTAATTAAAGACCAGCCTGGGAAATTCAATCGAGAAACTTCATTATTACAATACACAATAGATTTGATTATTAACTATTGTAGTTTTGTAAACAGTTGTAAACACGTATACAATTTTTTCTTTTAAATTTGCATTTCATCTCATTCGAATGTTATACTTCATAGCTTATGAGAAATTCCGATGAAGCTCAACCGCAATAACATGGAGTTAACTAGTAAGAAAACAAATACATTATGTCACGTTTCTTCTTTATTTTCTTCACGTGTTGCGGAAACTTTTCAAAAAAGGCAAATAGATTAACTGTCTTTCTACTAACCAATTTTTCTAATTTTCAAATGTGGAAGATGGAGCTTGAATAATTAGACAATAACGAAGGTCATGTGCTAAATAATGTTTATTCGTTGGATATTTATTACCCTTTGGGTGTTGCGGACGAATGGTCAAACCACTTTATCATGCTTTTCAGTTTAAAAAGCAATTGAGATATGCCGGAATTCGAACTCAGAAATGCTTACGTAATAATTATAAGCGTTGCCTATCTATGTTGAGAAAAAAGGATAACATAATAATTGATACATATGGCCAATGTTACCCAAATCTAGAAGTGACAGAGACAACATATTCTATGCCCAGCGAAGGAAAAGGCTATGGTACCTAGGAAAGCCATTCTTGAGCAATGTTGACCACGATACCATTAAATAGTTGGGATCTACAAATAAAACACAGTGGCAAATTAACAGAGAACAGAGATTTTCGGTTACACAACAACATAGAACAATAAATACGGGGTATGCCGAGTATGAGACAAACAAAAATAATTCGTCCTACTTAACGAAAACGATTTAAAAAATCTAACATGCTCTACTGAAATACTTACTAAGGTATTATTAACAGAAGCCAATGTGGATTCTGTCTAGAGGGGGCACAAAAATCCTATGAAACTGCCAGCAATAGCTAGGAAAAAGCTATGGTGCCTAGGAAAGTCATTATTGAGCAAATAAACGAAGATGGCATGCAAAAAGTTGGATCTACAAATAATTTGATGGGTCCCAGGTCAAGAGGGAATTCAGGCAACGAGGCATCAGACATACTAGCTAAGAAGAGAGCGGCGGAACAATACAGACCTGAATCCATTTTGTTACATAAAAAATGGTCCTATTAATTGAAGACTAATGTGAACTGAATCTAAAGAATACACAAATATCCTATGAAACTGCCTGCAATAGCTAGGAAAATGCTATGGTGCCGAGGAAAACCAATCATGAACAAAGTAGACCATAATACTATTTTTTTAAAATGGGGATCTACAATTAAAATTGGCGTATCGGTCGTGGATAATTTCAGGCAACGAAGCATCAGGCATACTAGCGAAAAGAGGAGCCTCGTTACGATACATAGGCCCAAATACATTTTGTGGCATAAATTAGAGCCACATTAAAATTATTTGCAATCTTGGGTTATTAAGGAACAACAGGAAAGGTAGGCATGAAAACAACCCAATACCATCACTTAAAACTTAAAAAATTATGGGACTACTTTCCAATGACTAATGTGGACTATGTATAGAGGGGCTACAGATATTTTATACAATGTCCTGCAATCGGTCGAAAAACCATTCTTATGCAATATAGAACTCGATGCCACACCATAAGAAAAATTGTGTAGTGCATTAAAGAAACGAAAATCTTCCAGGAAAACCATTAGTCGAGCTCACAATAGGCGAAAGTTTAAGTGCTAAGGGGGGAAATCTCTACGACTACAAACAGGGGAAAAGAAAAGCTTTAGTTTAAAATTTATCTTTGTATTTATTGTATATGTTTAATGTCCCAGTCTGACAAAATTGTACTTGTAAGTTTGTCTTATTCAACTGAGGGTAAAATATTATTGGATTATTATTTTGGTGAAAAAATGTCTTGAACATCATTAAGTTAAATTATCTTGTGGAAAAGATCATTCTTCTTCATAGCTTTCGCCTTGTTTCCTTTCTTTATCTTCTTTCCCGCATTATTGGAAAGTTTAAAACAAAAACTAACGAAACTGTGTTTCATGTTGTTCACTAAGGATCTTTTTTTCTAAATGAAAAGATAAATCTTTTGAGGTAATCTTTATTTGTTTGTGCAAGCTCTGTAAAAGAACGCAAAATTGGCTGCTTTCCTCGTTGAAAATAGAAAAAACAAATTGAGAGTTGGATATTTTCGCAGGTACGCACATCTAAATCGATTCACGCGTAATGGGATGTTGTCGATTTTTCAGACCGAAAAGCCCGTTTTATTTACTGTCTTATCTAATCTCTAGTCGGAGAACATGCTGAAACACCTCGTTTTAACTATTTATAACTGGAAACAAATTTAAAAACAGTTGATGTTTGTTAGCGTAAATTGATCGAACGGCAAATAAACGCCTTTTTTTAAATTCCCTTTGGAAAAAAGCTTTTCCCGATGGATTAATCTAGCATATAGTTCCTAAAGGTCGGACGAAAAGTATTTTCCCCCGGCAGAGAAAGGGTAGAAAACAATTCATTAATTTGCTATTGAACACCCTTAAAGGCGGAAGAAAATGAATTAATTTACCAATGGCCAAGTTGAACGAAGTATTTAATTTACTTTCGGCTTAGAAAAGTTCGTTTAGGTTATTTTCTTGCCTAATTGTTTGGTTAATTGTGTTCAAATAAAAACGTGCCCAATATATAGTTCATAGAAAAAAAAGTAGCCTTTTCTATCTTTTTTTCAAATTTGATGAAGCCAAATTTACCAATATTTAACACGATTTTTACACTTATTATTATTACAAATTTTTGATGGTATATCCTTGGTATAGCGTCAAATCGAGTTATGGCTTGTATAAATCCAATTTCATTATTTCTATAATTTATAAAATAAAACTTAGTCCTCTATTTTTTAAATGAAAACGCACAATGTAACAATAATACTTTTTTCGGAAGTTTATCAACTCTGCTTGATTACAAGTATGGATCATTTGCCATTATTTATCAAGGTTTTAACGGTAATTTAATGTCGGTTACGGGTTGTTAAAATACCTTTGGTCAATTGATTTATAATTTGTATAATCCGATTTGATGAGTTTTGTAGTCTAACATATTACCTAACTGTAAAATAAAGCTTAGACCTATTTTTTATAAACGAATGCACGCGTGGCAAAAATATGTTATTATTTTTTGGAAATTTTTCAACGGTTTCTCTGCTCTTGATGACACGTATTGTTAATTTGTTGAGCAAGGTTTTCACAACATTTTTCTTACCTTAATGTTGTTAATGATATGTTGAGGTGGTTAAATGAACTATGGTCAATTTGACTGATTGATTTTTGGTTTGGAAAAGTTCGATTGGATTATTTATGTAGTCTAACATATTACTTAACTATAAAATTAAGCTTACTCCTATATTTTATAAATGAATGCACACTTGGGGAAAATAAATGAATACTTTTTTCCTGAGTTTGTGTCAAGGGTTTGTCTGCTTGATGCAGTACGGATCATTTGTCATTATTTAGCAAAGGTTTAACGTGTAATTTTTTAATGGTGTACCGGCTAGGGGGTGGTTAAATTACCATTGGTCAATTTGATTAAAACATTTGATTGATTTATGGTTGGTAAAAGCCCGATTTGACTGATTTCATATTCTGAATAATGAAATTACACTTGGGAAAAATTGAATAAACACGTTTTTTCTAAGGTTTTGCATCGATGGTTTCTCTGCTTGATAAGGATGGATCATTCGTTATTTTTTAACTCGATTTTACAGTAATTTTATTATTACATTATTTAATAGCATATCGGATAGGGTTTAATTGTAAATTTCAACAAGGTAAAAGTAATTTCATTAAAGTTTTTTAAATTATCATTAATTGTAATTCTCATTAATCAATGCAATTTTATTATTATATTTTTTATTGCTACACCGTTATAGTGTTTGCCCAGGCTTTGACTTACGAAAAAAAAAATTGTTTACCGGAAATAAGATATTTTATTGTTTATAAATAGGAAGTGTTTTATTTTCTTGCAATTACGCAATCTTTAACTGATTTCAAACAAAAATTAATGTGCTCTTTGTCATATTATAATTTCTCAAATTTAGAAAATTAAATTTTGAAGTTTTTTTATTATTATATTTTTAGCGCGATTTCTTGAATATTGTAATTTTGAAAAAGGCCTATGTCACAGGTTTCTAACGATAGGTTATTGTTTTGATAACATTTTAGAGATTTTCGTTTGAGCTGCATTTTATTTTAAAAAAGTTTGGTCTTCAGAAGTTGAATCTTAAATTTTAGTTTGCTTTCATCGCAACACACTGTATTTAAGGAAATATATAAAATATAAGGAATTTTAAATTATATAAAGGACGGTTTTTGTAAATGATTTGCAACAAATTTAGGAAAGAATAATTAATTTACAGATTTTGAAACCCGGTTTAAGTAGGATAGTATAACAAATGATGATTTATGCCAGGACCATGCTTTTATGAGGGCGTGTTGCGTTAATTTTTATTGAAGTGTAAACACGTAATGTCAACGCCCATGCTTTCCACCTCTGATAAAGCTTATCACTGATATCGTCTTGTAGATAAAAGTCCACCTTTGTCGTTCAAAGGGCGACGCAATTTATTTTCTTATTTTTAATTGGACATCATCCGGTCCTTTTATAATTTATTTATACCACTTTTTACGCGTCGTTTTTACCTGGATCCTCGGGTCGCAACGGCATTCTAGCTTGGTTCCGATGCACGAACAGACCGGCAGTTCGCAAATGGAGACGGGGGTGGATCCGGGCCCCAGGAGTGCTGCCCCTGTGCCCAGGAAGGCCGCCAAGACGATAAATGCCTTCGGCATGCTTAGCCCATTTCGCCGGCCCCTCGTCGCACACACATCCCTCGATGACACGAGCTACACTGAAGGCACCACACGGACCTCACTCCAGGCCCCTACCACCAAGCGGATCGATCACCCCCCACCGGCCCGACTGCCTATCGCAGTCGTACCTCCCCGATTCGAAGTGAGGAGGCCGCAGAGGGCGCTTAGTGAGCATCTTACTCCCGTCTGTTATTAATCTCGTGCCAGATGTCTACTCTAATTATTGCTAATCATGTTTGGAGCGGTCTGGTTTCGCTGTGAATGGCTGTGGTCTGTCGTGTGTTAGGCCGAATTAGCCTAGACACCCGTTATTATGAATTACATTTCAAATCCTTCATCCTGTTCCACCATCCCACTACTCTTCTACTTGAAAGAAACATATACCATTAGACATATCGTCTATAAAAAAAACACACACATCGCTGTATACACAACAGTAGATTTCACCAAAAGACCTCAATTGTTCCTTCTGTACATGTCAAAATATTTACTTAGTTCTGAAATTTCTACAGGAAAAATCTCGACTGAATGGCAAAGATCGTTCATTCACTAGTAGTCTCAAAAGAAAATTTCTTAGAGAGCATTCAAGTTATCGGGGCAATGACATCCAAAGAATAATAACAGCATGCACCATGAGATCTCTCTTGGACCTACCAAGAGTATGATTTTGAAGAGGCACTGTGAGATCAAGGCTTTAATGTCTCGGTTTATCCGGATAAGCAGACCTTTTCACCCTCTCCTTCCTTCGAGGATGTTTTGACAAAATCATCCCCCCCCCCCAGCAGTGCCTCAAAAATTTAGTTGTTTCTCGGCGGGTCTAAGGCAATTGTAATATAAAGTTTTGTCAGGAATTTTGTAGAAACGTGCATATTTGATACAACACATTAACACTTTAACATAAACAAACCTATTGGCAAACCTTACGTAGAATCTGCAACAATTTTCTTTCTCCGTACTTCAATTCTACTCAACTCCATTTGTACCTTTTGGACCTATACAATATAATTACCATTTTGGTTAGGCATTCTGAAAACCGAGTCTCTAGAGGTGGATTTTATATGTCAAAAGATCGATATAGTTAAATTTAAGGGTCTCTAGATGTGATAAAACTAATTTTCCTATTAGTTTCACGAAAAAAATATGATCTAGTTTACTTGAAAAATATTTGGTTTTTAAACATTTTTTTGGTTATTAATCAATTAATATTTATGAAAGGTATTGGTCGAGACAAATTATTAATTAATTGAAAAATGTTAATTGTTCAATCGGACCACGAACTGTAATGGAGTTATTTATAAACTTTGATAGCTTTTACTATATTTTTATGACCATCTATATTAAAAATGCTATAGCATGTTGTATTCACAAAGTTGATTTTGGCAAGAAGAAAGGCGAAATAAAATTATTAAACAACGGAAAAAAATGGCAAAACCAGGGCTTCTTCACTAGAAGTGAAGGTGCCCAATATTTTGGAGTGTATGATCACCAAATGAGTTTTGTACAAATCCGTGACCCACCAACCAGGTCGGCCCCTTGTCATTTTAGAGCATCGTGGACAACTGGCAAAACATTTGACAGTGCAAATCTACTTGACTTCTTCTTTAATGAAAGAGCCACGAAACGGTCTGCAAAACATAACCAAAATCGCCCCCCCCAAAAAAAAAAAAAATAGTGCCTTTCTGAATTTATCAAACGATATGATTTAGGATAGGCACCATGAGCACAGGGTATCTCTAAGTTTAATAAACCTAAATGCCCAAAAAAACCTTCCAAAATTAGCCCATTGTAAAGATCTAACAGAAATACAAATTAACATTCATGGTTTGAACTAAACAAACCTATAAACGGATTTTTTGAGAAAGATGAAAATTGATGTCGGGAAGCAATTTGATGGATATATTTTTAATACTTAGTTAAATAAGAAATCTTGACTATCTGATGAATTGTTTATGTAATGTTATCTGTAGTGTTAACGCAATTAATTTATATGAACACAAACATTAATTAAAAACCTCTCAAAGCCTATTTTATAATTGACCCTACGAAATGACGATTCGCCTTTGACCTAATTCATTAATATTCACATTAATATAAGCATGAAAAGTTAGTTTATTATATTTCCCCTTTGGTAAACAGCATTCCCTAATTGTTCCTCGGACCCGGAGGCGTTTAATTTCATATACATTAATTTTCTGGCCCAATTTCCACCCTGTCTTTCGTCGGGCCATTTTGAAATAAAAAAATAATAATCCGCCCCGTTTACATGAAAATTGCACGGTAAATCCCTTTGTTATTATCTCTCTATGGGGGTATTTTATCAAATTTGTAATATTTCCTTTGTCTGAACGCTGGCTTTCACTCCATTTCCCTCCCCGGTTGAAAATTATTGAATAGTTATTATTAGTAAAGTTAACTTGATCTCCGGCGATAGGATTTTATAACGGAACCAATTTATTATGTGTGACTGGATTTATTTGTAAAATCACTCTAAAAGTTCAACTGTCATTTTATACATTCTCTTTTAAAAACAAACAACCATTACTTTTGTTCTCGCGCTACATAAAGTTTTAGGAAAGCAGAACAGAAGAAATGTTTAATGTTCTACTTTACTTTCCTTATATAAATTTATTGAAAGCATAAATTAACAACTTCTGAACAAACTTTCGCATTTCTCTTATTGATTATGACACATTTTTATACAAATTGTTGAACCAAACTTAACAAAAACGTTATTACTTACTAATATATGCTGAGAGTAATAGAAGTAGACAGCATAATTTGGCAAAATCTCGCTTAAGTCAAGTCAAGTATTAACACAATGTGATCTTGTTATTGTTTCAATCAAGTAAGGACTTCAACCCTTAATCCTCCACGATCTATATAGGTCAATTGTAGAACTCCTTTAGTTATGACTTTACTGGAAAGTGCCTTTTTCCCACAAAACTAAGCCTTTCCTCAGTGTGCTTTCGAGAACTTCTTTTTGTGTGAGAGTTGCCTTGTGACCCAAGTGGATATACAGGTGCTAGTGTCTTATTCACATAGGAAACATGTGCCGATGTCTCTGGATTCTCGTGACCGAATCGGCACGTCTCGGCTTTACCCATCTTCTTTAGGAGGACGTTAACCTGGCCTGTATAGAGGCCTATAAATTTCGTCAAATTTTGCCTGTTGAGAGAACCTTAGCCATTCTTTTTGAGAGAGATCTTATCTTGCCTCGAACAGGATCCCTTTGTCCAGTATTTTAATTTATAGAAAAGCTAATTGGTGAGTGTGTTGTTCATTCACGTAAGATGTTTTCAACGATCCGTATTTCGAGCCTACAGCTTGAAGGAGCTCTACAACCTGATGATGAGCTGTAGGCTCGAAATCCGGATCATTAAAAACAACTCACTGTGTGTTGAATTTATCTTTTTAAAAAGATAGTGTTTGAATTTTTCTTTCTCGAACCATTTTTCTAGCTCCATCTTTACCACACTTTCCGTTGCGCCTAGTTGTTGTTCCGATTTTATATCAAACAATATGCTAATTCGAGGTATTACATAAAAACCGATTAATTCAACCTTAAAAAACTAATTTTGGTATATAATAGGATCACATATAATTCAATCAGGTCTACCTCAAGGTGGAATTTTTAGTCCTATTATATTTTTCATATCTGATCATATAGATGGATATATTCACCTCCGTATCCTACTATATGCGGACGATTTATGCTTATATTCGAAACAGGGATGTTGAGAAGGCACTAGCGCTCAACGGGCAGTTGACTGTATGAGTGCTATATTTCATCAAATCTTGCTTGCTGACGGTTTCTTCGCCTTCCTTTTTGAGAGATTTATGAATGTTTTAGCTTCCCTTATTACCTGGTGGTTTCGTTCAGTGCTTTTCTTTCTCAAAAATTTTCCAGCTCTAGGTTTACCACACTTCTCAGTGTGCCCAGTTGTGGTTCCGATCCATGGGTGTGAAGCCCCCCCCCGTTCAAAATTCTTTTCATTCAAGAGGCTAACCGTTGGGTGTCAGCGAACCAGAGTTCAAACCACTTCACGTATTTACAATTTTTACGAAATAAAATTCAATTTAATGTATTAGCGTGGCAAGTACGAGTCGGAAGTACTAACCACTCGTCACAAAACGGATCAGCTGTCGACATTCAAAGCAAATACGTTTCAGGAAATAATTTTTCAATTTCTTAATATCACATTGACGAGAGGAATTTTATTAATATTTTTGATCAATTTGTTGATACACATACACAATTGTCAAGTGTAGAAGGCACTTAAGCTCTACGCTGATAAGATAGGTACAAATAGGTTTCATCGTAGACAATAATAAGAGGATTAGATAAGGAATCTTTATTTTGTTTTATTTTTAAATTATTCAATCCTAATGGCTCTTAAACGTACACCTGACTAGGGCTTACAGGTAAAGTTATACAGGAGGACTTTCAAGCTATATGTTTGATGTCAAACCCCTTTACCTATAACAATATTTGCTATCTTATAATTTGCCATTAATTTTGAAAACTGAAATGTGGTTTCTTTTGTCTGCGAAACCCAACAGGGAGGTTTTAAATTTATATTTATTGCTTATTTGCAGTTTCTAGTCTAGATTTAAAAAATCCATCTCTTCTGTAAGTCAGTGTTTTCTTTTTTTTCGTTACCCCTTTGAACGCACCAGGGAGGGCCGAGTGAAATGAAAACTCCCGTAAATTGAGGGTTGTTTCTTATACGGCCGAGAGGGAAACCGTCTTTCCGTCTTTCTTTTAACCCAGGATACAGAAGGTCGGCTCTCTTCGAATATAAATTGAAAGGATAATAGAGGTGGATTGTTCAGGTTGGTTTATGCATAATAAGATATAGGTTCGGGTCTTTTACGAACGAGGCAGGGGTGGTTTAGGCTGGAAAGTTAAGGGTATTGAAACTCGATTACCTTCCTCTCAGTTGGCTCCGGTTTCTGCACATTATTTTTCCGCTCGATTCATAAATATGAATATTCATTGTTTCTTTACGATAGATTTTTATGTATTGTTCATAAAATGGCTTGTTGTTACGACTAATGTCTAGGTTTTTAGTTTCTATAAA